TACAATAGGCAAACCATGAAAACAACCTAAGTGTCTACCAATGGATGAATGGATAAATACTGAATATAATGTGATTGATACATACATACACACACACACACACACACACACACACACACCAGAATATTATTCAGCCTTAAAAAAGAAGGAAATCTTGCCCTTTGTGACTACCTTGATGGACCTTGAGGGCATTATGCTAAGTGAAATAAGTCAGACAGAGAAAGACAAATACAATATGATCTTACTTATATGTGGAATCTAAACAAACCAGAAAACAAAAAACCCAAGCTCACAGATATAGAGAACAGATTTGGTGGTTACCAGAGGTGGGGCATTGGGGGTGAGGGAAATAGGTGAAGGGGTCAAAAGCTGCAAGCTTGCAGTTATAAAACAAAGAAGTCATAGGGATGCAATACAGCATGGTGACTGCAGTTAATAATATTGTAAGAAAAAGAAACTTCAAACAATTAATTCCGTACTTATACAAATTCCCCCAAAGAGCAAAAAGTTGTGTATACCCTACAACTCACATAATGAGACTAGTGTAACCTTGATACCAAAACTAAAGAACAGCATGAGAAAGGAAAAATACAGGGCAATCTCCGTCACGAACATAAACAAAAAAATCCTAAATGATATGTTTGCAAATCAAATCCAGCAATGCATTAAAATACAATGCACCATGAACAAACTGGGTTTATTCCAGGAATTCAAGACTAGTTCATAACCATGTAATTGTCCATATAAACAGAAAAAGTTGGAAAAATTATAAGATCATCTCAGAGGCAGAGGAGACATTTGATAAAAATCAACAACTATTATTTAAAATAAAACTCAACACATTTTTTAAAGCAGAAAGAATGCAAAGATGACCACTACACGGCTCCTATTCATTACCGTTCCGGAAGTTCTAATAACAAAATGAGAAAAAAGAACTAAAAGATGTAAGGATTACAAAGAAAGAATCACAATTATTACTACTTGTAGATGATAAGATTATCTTCATTAATAACACAAAAGTGTACAAATTAGGATTAGAGTGTAGCCAGGTGGTTCTTATAAGATCACTTTATAAAAATCAATTGTATTTCTATATATTGCAACACAGGAAATATTATTAAAAGTTATACCACTTACAACAATAATAAAAGAATACAAGGTACCTAGAAATAAACACAACAAAAGATATGCCAGACTCTTATGAAGAAAATTAGAAATGTTACTGAAAAGCATTAAAGGAGATCTAAATACTGTAATGGAGAGAAAGGTGATGTTTCCAGATAGGAAGATATCATCAAAGAGATGTAAGTTCTCCTGAAACTGATGGACAGATTCAATACAATTCAACCCAAAATCCCAACAGAGTTCTTTGTGAATTTTTCAAAGCTAATTTAAAAACCTATGTGGGGGGCTTTCCTGGTGGCGCAGTGGTTGAGAGTCCGCCTGCCGATGTAGGGGACACGGGTTCGTGCCCCGGTCTGGGAAGATCCCACATGCCGCGGAGCGGCTGGGCCCGTGAGCCACGGCCGCTGAGCCTGCGCGTCGGGAGCCTGTGCTCCGCAACGGGAGAGGCCACAACAGTGAGAGGCCTGCGTACTGCAAAAACAAACAAAAAAACCTATGTGGGGAAAAAAAAAAAAAAGATACTTCTGAAGAATAAAAGAGCTTGACATTAGCTCAAGGATAGACAAATGTACCAGTTAAAGTAGAAAGCTCAGATACAGACCTATACATACATGGAAACTTGATCTAACGGTGGAAGCACCACGGATCGGTGGGCAAAGGACTATTCAATAAATGGTACTGGGTCAGTACTGGTGGCTCCTCTACTAGACACTGCAGGTCTAGAGCGTTCAGTATTCTTGGCTGACATGGGGTCTGCAGCAAATGTATTGATCGCTATTGATTTCTTCAGTTAGACCCTTCCTCTCCCCAATCTGATGAGCTCCACGGTAGGTACAAAAGATAGCTGTCAGGGACGCTGCGGGTCCAAGTCCCCTTAGCTGAAGTGTAGAGAGAGACAAGAAGTGTCTTCCTCCCTTTATAAGGCTTGGTCAGAAGGTGTCTCTCCGCCCTGCCTGTCCGCCTAGTGTGGCTCATAGGGGTGGTCGACACAAAGGACAACAGTCATGTTCCTTCTACTGCCCTCAATGGCTCTCTTCTGCTTCTCTGCAGAAAATTTCCCCAGCTTTAGATTCACACATGAGCAGACCATTTCAGGAACGAGATAGAGTTTTTTCTCTAACAGGGGTTGCACTGCCCCAGCAGGAAAGTAACCGACAAAGGAAGGAGGTCGAACAGAGATGCTTAGTCCTATACTGTGGTGTCACTCTGATAACGAGAAAAAAATAATGGCACTTATAAAATTGAAATCTTTGGCTTTCTTATTAAAGTGCATCAAATCCAACGTACTGGGTTCTAAAGCATCATGATACACAGTACATAACAATCTTCTAAATGTTTCACTAAATCCTGACATAATTCAGCAAATAAACGGTACATACAGTGATGGACCCGGAGGGAAATATTCAATATTTATGTTAAATTAAACCTGGAGCCTCCAAATTGGGTACAATTTCAGAAAGAAGAAAAGAACACGCACACTAATAATTAGGTAAAAACAAAGATACCCACTCCGTATGCTGAAAAACAATAAGAAATTTGTAAGCCTTTGATCTTTATATTTTTTTCTAGCAGTGTATGCCACTGCTAAATTATAAGGCTTTTAACATTATTCTTGTGAGAAAATTACCATCATTTTCTATAAACTCTCCAATTCTAATACATACTCTAAGATAAGAGATTAAGTGACATTTTAAGTCTCTGGGGCCTTGGATAAGAATTCTCAAGGCATTCTGTTCACACTGAGTGTTTTGAATTGTAAAAGAATACACAAAAGAGGCAGAGTGGGCTGTGGGCCAAAAGCGCAGGCTTCGGAGAAGACGCGTTTAGGTAAGTCCCACATACCTGGCAGGGCCTTGGCTGAGTTCTTTTCGTCTCTGAGCCTCATTTATCTCATTTGTAAAATGAAGCTACTATTATGTTTCACCCATTACTGAAAGGATCAATTATTGGCATACTCAATAGTCTCTACTATTTTCTCCTCTCACACTTGCTAAAAGGAAAAAGTTTGTTTTGCTTTATGTCAAACAGGAGGCTTTTCCTGAAATAGTCCAGTGTATATATTTGTATAGGGATGAATAGTGTCCTCCAGAAAGTCATGTCCGGGCTTCCCTGGTGGCGCAGTGGTTGAGAGTCCGCCTGCCGATGCGGGGAACACAGGTTCGTGCCCCGGTCTGGGAAGATCACACATGTCGCAGAGCGGCTGGGCCCGTGAGCCATGGCCGCAGAGCCTGCGTGTCCGGAGCCTGTGCTCCGCAATGGGAGAGGCCACAACAGTGAAAGGCCCGCGTACTGCAAAAAAAAAAAAAAAAAAAAAAAAAAAAGCCATGTCCACCTGGAACCTATGAAAGTGACTATTTGGAAATAGGGTCTTGTAGATGTAATCAAGTTAAGATGAGGTCGTACTGGAATAGGGTGGGCCCTCAATCCAATGACTGGTGTCCTTATAAGAAGGGCCTGTGAAGACAGACACAGGAATGGCCCTGTGACAATGCAGGGAGAGACAAGAGTAATGCTGACACAAGCCAGAAAATGCCAAGGACTGCTGGCCACCAACAGAAGCCAGGGAGAGGTGAGGAAGGATTCACCCCAGAGCCTCCAAAGAGAACACGGCCCTGCTGACACCTTAATTTTGGACTTCTAGCCTCCGGAACCATTAAAGAATAAATTTCTCTTATTTCAAGCTACCCTGTGTGTAGTACTTTGTTACAGTAGCCCTAGGAAACTAATACAGTATTGAGTCCTGAAACAGAAATGAAGCATTTTGGCTCATCTCCCACAAAGAAAAAACATACCACTTATTTCGCTATGGCTGAATAGTCATCAGCACATTCCAAGATTGTTTGATGTGGATTTTCCAAGAACACAATTTAGTAGTGCGTTATTGAGGGATCATGTTTACAAGTGAACAAAACGTAACTAAAGCAGGCTTTAACTAACTAAAAAGGTCAGTGGAGGATGAGTTACATTAGTGGATCCTGACTTCCAAGAAACATAAGAACCACCAAGACAAGGCCCATATGGAAGCAGCTCTGGAGTCAATGAAGGCAGGAGTCACCATCTGGTTTCCCATCTTGTTCTTCCTGTGGATGAACTTCATTCTTTTCTCTAGCTGCAGTCTGTCTTTAGCCAGCAGGTGAAAACATGACTGCTGGCAGCTTCCAAGTTTTCTTTTACAGAGTTGAACCCCTGAAGAAAGACTACTTTCATTTTCTGGGTCCCCAAGTCCAAAAAGCCTGGAGGAACACTTTGAGTGGCCTGAGCTGGGTCTCCTGTCCACTCCTGAACTACCTGTTGGAGCCCTGTGGCTGGGCAGGTACCAGAGAGAGGGATGGATGGAGACGATCTAACAAGGAACAGCTCTAGTTTCCTTCCTGATTAAGTAGTTCCACTTTTTTCAATTTACCCCAAATTCTGCTATCATGCTAAAACGAAGTGAGCAACCAGGAGCAGAGAAGTAATTTTAAAGGCAGGTACAGATACGATTGGAAGAATAAGAAGTAGTAATAGATAAATCAAATTATCAATACACGTAATACACTGATAAAGAACTTCAACGAAGAACCAATAAGCACGTGAACTGGATGCTTTCTGTAAGTATAAATAAAACAATTTTCACAGTTGGAATTACTGAGAAACAATTTTCTCTATTTAAATAATAGAAGAGAATATAAGAAATCAAGCAACCATTTTGATTTGAAGATTTATTTTAAAGAAGTTTCTATATTTGGGTAGTAAAAGAACTATACTTCATCAGCAATAAACAGTTGACTGCATTGTGTGAGCAGGGCACTGAAGGGTCATGAGATTGTTTCTAGAGAAAATTAAATTCAATACATAACTTGTAACTTTTCTTAGACATAGAAATTACCACTTACCATAGCACGGGGGTTTCTATCAGCTCGATTTCCTTCAAAAGAATTTATTTTATGGGCACTCATTTCATCAGTGTCAGCAATGATATAATGTCTAGGAGAGTAAGCATCGGACAAGTTCTCAAGCAGCCTCAGGATCTCAGTGGTATGCCCACCTGGAAAAAAATATTGGAAGGCTTGAGATTCAGAAACCGGTAATGGACACATCCATCTGACTACATTATACTAATACTATGCTTTGTGTATTTCTCAAAACACAGAAGGAATATTTGGAAATGATAATCTATGCCCTTGTATAAATACTACCTTTATATGGGGGAAGAGGATAATAAATGTATAAAAATAAAATCAGCACCAGCAGTAGGTTGTGCTACTGTACTACCTGAGGAAGGTACAAAGAAGTATAAGACACAGATCCTGTTATCAAGAAGTCTGGTGGGGGGCTTCCCCGGTGGCGCAGTGGTTGGGAGTCTGCCTGCCGGTGCAGGGGACACGGGTTCGTGCCCCGGTCCGGGAGGATCCCACATGCCGCAGAGCGGCTGGGCCAGTGAGCCATGGCCGCTGAGCCTGCGTGTCCGGAGCCTGTGCTCCGCAGTGGGAGAGGCCACAACAGTGAGAGGCCCACGTACAGCAAAAAAAAAAAAAAGAAGTCTGGTGCGGAAGGGACAAGACACACAGATATACAAAGAGTGACGCAAGACAGCAAGAAAAATTAAAATGGGGTTTGGGGGAGGGAACAAGCAAAAGGTTATGAAAAAACAATGTCTTAAGCATAGGGGAGATCCCTGGTAAAGGCTGAAATGACTTGAAAGGTGCAGCTAATGGACAGATATGAGTAGGGAGGCCACTGGGTGGGGGTGGGATTATTAGGACGGGAGAAGGTAAGATCTGGGATGGGTGATCAAGGCATGGTGGGAACACTGGGAAGAAAGAGGAGAGTGAAGTAAGGTCAGGAAAGTAGGCTGGAAAATGGGAAGACAGTTGCTGAAGGTTTCTGTGTTGCGAAGTAACATCAAGGAGGCATGAGCACTGACTCCCAGGGCTCAGATCTTCCTAAGGAAGACTTTTGTTCAACAGCTCCTAACAGAGGTCTTAGACCTAACAGAGGTCTCAAATATTTACCAGCTTCACCCAACAACAGTGTGTTCAATTTCTGAAATCGTACAATCTCCAAAATTTCCATACTTTAATTTTAAAACCATGGATTTAAAAACCAACTGTGTTCACTGAGGTTTCCTTCGGGGGAAAAAACCCAAAAGAACATTTACCTATTACATTACCTATATACCAATTAAGCAAAGCAATCAAACTCCTTAAGAATGGGCCCTATCATACCTATTTAATTTAACTGCACGATCCCCTGGCCTCAGCCAGGTTGATGTCTTTAACATTCTCTGTGTTCATCTCATTTGTTACCTCTTCCTTGTCTCTGGTCACACTACAAAGCTCCCCCCACTCACCTCCCTTACTGTTGCAAGAAAGCTTTCAATAGCGATACAGTGAACATATAGGATAATCAAACAAATTATGTGTTTTCTCCAAACGCATATATTTTCTTATAGTAGAAAGGGAACGATTACTCTCTAGATCCCAGAAGGAATTAGATATAGAAATAAAGTCATCAGAGAGTAAGTATAACAGGAATTAGAATCATGCTTTAACTTTGTAACTTGTCAGCCATCTTCTTATGTAGGGCAAGTAATTTACACATCTTATACTCATTTTATCATTTTTGTTTTTAACTTTGAAAAAGTGTGGTGGTTTGCAAAGTAGGTACTTGTTTTCAGAGCTGGAACAATTACGGATAAATCCGAACATATACATCTTCCACTGCTATTAAAACTTCATTTTACCTGCTTTAACAGTCTTTTCTTTTTTCCTTAAAAGGAAACCCTTTTCCCTTAAAAGGAAACTGAATACATTCTTTGAAAAATTAACTTTGTTACTGAATAAATAAATAATAAGAGCTTCATCTTGCATTTTACTTTTTTATTAAGACTTATCCTTTGGGAATGAAATCTTCTCAGTTCTATCTTAAAGTACATCCAGAATCCAATCACTTCTCACCACCTCTTTTGCTAGCACCCTGCTCCAAACCACATCACTCTCACGTGGATTATGACCAAAGCTTCCTGGTCTGTTCCCCCCTCTGCACTTGTCCATTCAAGTGTCCACTTGAGTCTACTCTCAACACAGCCTCTAGACTGATCTTCTTAAAAAGAGTTGATCAAATTATTTACCTCTGCTCAAAACCCTCCAAGGGCTCTCATATGGAATAAAAGCCTTTTTGTAAGCTGACCCTTATTGTTACCTCTTGGACCTCATCTGCTTCTTCTCCCCTTACTCAGTCTACTCCAGCCATTCTGGCCTCCTTGCTGTTGGGTATCTGTCATCTCCCCAGGGAGACTTTACCTGACAATTCTGATGAAAATGCAACTTTCTTTCTCCTTGCCTCTTCCTAACCCACATTTTTCAAACCGGAAACAGAAGGTTCAGTGAAGTTAACTAATTTGCACAAGATCACCAAATTAGTAAGTGGCAGAGATGTGATTCAACTCTGGTGTTATGTTCATTTAGAGGCACATGGTCCTAACCTCTGCATGGTAGGAAGCAGTGGAATAGTGCTAACAGCTCCGTAGAGCAGGGTTTAAAATACCCTTCCACGATCTGCATGGGGCTTGCCTCCCCACATCCAACTCAGTACAATAGTGCCCTTGCACCTCTGGTCATCCCAAGTGCTATGGCCTTCTTTTCACACCCTCCCAGCCCTCAAAGCCCAGCTCCCCCTTGTCTGGCTACTTCTTAGTCATCTTTCAAGTCTCAGTTTAGACATCACGACTTCCAGGAGCATCCTGTCTCAAGTTCAGAAAAAGTGGCGCCCAGCGTGAACTTCCATAGCAGTGTTAACTTCCCAGGTTATAGCACTTATTGTGGCAAGTACCCATTCTGCTTTTCGTTTTCTATTCTCCATTTCATTCACTGCTGTGTCCTCACAGCTTTCACACTGCTTGGGACATAGTCAGCACTCCACGGCAAGTCGTATTCGTCAGTTTTGTTATTTCCAGGGCTTAGCTTAGTGCCTGACCTCCCCTATGGCTCAAAATACATTAAGTGAATAAAGTAATGAATTACACGTGAACATAAGTTTAGACCATTTGCTAATACCTATAAATATTATGCTATCCGGATGCAATCTCCTGGCATTTCTGAATGTACACAGCATGTATATGTATCGCTCTGTCAGAGCTGTCCATTTAAAGCGGTACGCCTACAGAGCTGGCCGACTCCGTTTGGATTGTATTACCTGATTGCACAGGTTGTTGTTCACCCCCCCGGCACAATATCCTGAAGTGTATATTGTTCTCCCGTTAGTAGGTAATTGTTTCTATACTCGTGGGTTTTGTATATGTATATTTATAAATGTGACAATTCGCTTTGTCTCGCTTATCATGTAGTATTCGTGATTCCTAAATTAAATCCCAAATGCCTAGATCAATAATGCAAAGCAGTTTTTATTCAGGCAAATTGCATGTTAGCATCACGGGCTTCTGTGTCCTCTCTGTTCACTAATAATTTGTTAGAAAAATATACGCTACAGAGACGCTTAATTACAGACAAGTGTAAGTAACTCATTTGTTATTAAAGACGCGGTCTGGGCCACATCAACAACACACCATCATTTTGCCCAGCCGGGGTTGACCCGCTCCAGTCCCGCAGAGAAACTACAAATCTCAGCATGCAACGCTGCACAAAGTGCTTGGGGTCCTGCGAACAGCGCCGCGGTGGACTCTGGGGTTTGTAGTACCCGACCCGAGCCCGCCAGTCACCGCCCGGATACTCACCGGACCCAGCCACCACCAAGAGGCTGAGAGACCGCCGGGGCACAGTGGCGCGGGGACGCAGCACTACCCACAGCCGCACTGCCAGCAGCACGGCCACGGCTCCTGCCGCTGCCGCGAGGATAAGGGTGCCACCCATTCGAAGACAAGACGCATGCGTACTATTCCGCGGCGCCGGCCGCAGGAGCGGTGAAAGTTCAAAACTACGGACGCTGCGGAGACCCAAACTCGAAGTGTGAGCCTCCTGGTGGGCGGGGCTTGTTGGCGGTGGGTGGAGTTCAGGGCCGGAGGCGGAAACCTGGCCTCTGACCACCCCGCTGGGTGCCCCGCGGGATTCTGCGCACGTACAGCCCATGCGTAAACTGAAATTCGCGGATTAAAGCGCTGGAGGAGTTTTGGTTTCGATTCGTGAGGAGGTGAGGCCAGCTGGGCGCCCTAAAAAGGACCTAACAAGTTAGCAGGTGTTCCAAATTAACCAACTTGGTGAATTCCACCTGAGGCCAGTGGCATACGTCGCCTTTTTTTTTTGTTGTTGTTGCCAAGGGAAATGTTTCTGTTGCACAGCTACTGAAAGTGCTTGCCAGTGAAAGGTACCTTAGTACAAAAAATTGAATTTCGGGTTCTCATCCAATTCTCCTCTTTCCCAGGCACTCATATTTTTAATTTTTCTAGTCATTTTCACAGATCTCAGTGTGACCAGAGTAGCCAGCTGAGGGTGATCACCTCAAGTTACACCATGTTCCTGAGAGCAGTGGAAGTTCAGTGGCTCAAGGTAGTGAGATAGAGAAATAATCGTCCTATTCAGTTAATTTTACCGCAAAGGCAACACCTCCCCCAATCCCAATTTTGCTTATTTTTATGTTTACTTAATCCACATTGTAGCAATATAAAAAGGCTGGGATTAGAGAAGCCCCTTCATCCCAAATGTAATTTGCCTTCAGTCCCCAATGGACCTGGAGGTCAGATAGGACAAGTATACAGATGAGTAAACAAGTCCAGAAAGGTGAAACAGCTTGCTCAAGTGAAATGGTGGCAGATGTAGATTTAGAAACTGGAAACCCTAACTGCTGCTGCATAGCAATTTACGCCATGTATTCCTTTGCCAAATTCAAACTTCCTTGATTTTCAAACTTGCTTAGATCCTAGAATGTGCTTTTAAAAATGCAGCCTTGGGCTTCCCTGGTGGTGCAGTTGTTAAGAAGCCGCCTGCCCATGCAGGGGACATGGGTTTGAGCCCTGGTTCGGGAAGATCCCGCATGCCGCGGAGCAACTAAGCCCGCGAGCCACAACTACTGAGCCCACGTGCCACAACTACTGAAGCCCGGGCGACTAGAGCCCGTGCTCCGCAACAAGAGAAGCCACCACAATGAGAAGCCCGCGCACTGCAATGAAGAGTAGCCCCTGCTAGCCACAACTAAAGAAAGCCCGCACGCAGCAACGAAGACCCAACGCAGCCAAAAATAAAATAACTAAGTTTATATATATATAAAAAATGCAGCCTCTCAGGGTACAATAGGGAGCTCCTGAATCAGAATCTCCAGGGGAGAGGACTGAGATCAGCTCCTCTAACCAATGTGTCTATTTCTATCAGCAGGCAAGTTTGGGAGACATTTAGGTACTTTGTAGCATCATTTTCTGGCTAATGGACCTCACATACTTCCTGTATTCTATCAAATCCTCTTAACCCTATATCCTCACAATAACGTTATAAGGTGAATATTATTCCCCTCTTTACAGGTAAAGAAAAGGATTCTATAAAAGTTAAATAATTTGCCTAAGGTTAGCTAGTGGGGAATTCCCTGGCAGTCTAATGGTTAGGACTCGGCGCTTCCACTGCAGGGGGCACAGGTTCCATCCCTGGTCAGGGAACTAAGATCCTGCATGGTGTTAGTAAGTGGTGAAGAAATTTTATAATTGTGGGCTTAGAAGTCAATGCTTCTCAAATTTTGATGGAATCAGAATCCCCTGGGCTTACAAATACATAGTTGCAAGTCCAGAGGTAGGGCCTCTGGCGCAGTATGAAAAACAGCTTAAGAATATTACAAAAGATGTAGTTTTATTTCATCTGCCCACTCTGCCATTCCCAGCAATGACTTCAGCCTAAGACTGTCTCCCATCATACTTTTAGAAGAAGACATTAGTTGTCTCAGAAATTTACATCCAGGCAGGGCAGTCTCCAGATTTCGAGAGGTTATCTTGTCCTTGGGTCTTTTTTTTAAGAGTGAAGAAACCTTTTCCAGAACCTCCCACAGCAGACTTTCACTCCTTTTGGCCAAATTTATATCACTTGCCCCTTCATAAAAGGAAGACACAAATCTGGCTGAGGTAGGGTGGAGGATGACATACAACTCACCTGTGGTACCTGGCTGTTTGGTGGAGGGTGGGTACTGAACAAAACAGGCATTCTCTTGGAGAGGAGGATGTTGGAGGAGGGTGGAGGAAAGATCATTGCTGGGTAGGCAAATAATAGTGTTTGGATTGCTGCAAACGTAATGCATCTGAGCTGGTGTTGTAAACTGACACAGGCAATGCAGAAGTTTGGCATATTAATGTTAGTCTCTAGGCCCCAAAAGATACCCCTGCATTCCCTAGTACCCATCCCCTCACTACTGTCATTACCTGTGTCTGTACGAAATATCAGTTTGACCACACTTCGTTGTAGATGGAATGAATGGGGAGTGATCAAGCATTTTAGTGGCTGCCAGTAAATGCAGAGAGTCAAAGAGGGTGGAATAGCAGACATTCTTTGGAGTTATTGGTTGAGTTATTTTGAATTAAGTCTAGGGTCAAACTGTTCAGCGTTCCTGACAAGGAAGTTGAGGACTGCAGGGAGGAGCTGGGTGGCAGGTGGAGACAGGAACACAGTTGGGAACTCCTGAACACAATAAATCAGGAGTGTTTTATTCACCCACGAATTGCTGGGTGAGCTGAGTCCTGGGCTGTGACAGGCACAGAATATAATTAAGAGGTGAATAATATGTACGGGATTAATCAGAAGAGGCAGGACTGAACAGGACGAAGCAACTAAAATCTCTCTTGGGGAGGTAAGTTGCACTGACAGTGCAGCTAACAAATGCACAGAGGTAAATGATACTGTGTGAAAAGCATGAAAATGTATTAATAATGGATAAACTGAATAATAGTATTGAGCCATACCAATCATAAGTAAAGTCTGCCTGAGAAGTGATTTTTATTATCTTCTTAAATCAATTTTCTAAAGTTTCTGTGACAAGTATTATTCATGAATATTTTTTAAATTAAGATTATTTTGCACTATTGAATGGAATTGTACTTGTTAATTTAGTCAACATATTTAATGAGCACCTGCTATGTGCTAGATTTAGGTGCAGGGGATCTTGTATGACAGTAGTAGTCCAGACTAAAACCTTAGACGAGGAAGATGACAGTGGAAGGTAGAAGAGGGTAGATTTGAGATATATTTTATGGATAGAGTCAGTAAGACTCGTTGACGGATTAGATATTGGGAATCAAAGTGGCTCTTAGATTTTTGGCTTCAAAACTGGCTGGATGGTGTCATTTGCTCAGACTAGACAGACAGGAAGAGAAACAAGGTTTTGTGAGCAGAGAAAGGGGAGGAGATGATGAAAATGAAGTGTTCTGTTTTGGATGTTAGTTTGAATAACCTGTTAAACATCCAAGTAGTTGTGTCAAATAGGCAGTTTATGTATAAATCTGAAGTGTGGGTTAGAGCTAGAGGTATAAGTTTAGAATTCAGCATATAGATGGTATTTAAAGCCATGGGACTGGGTGAGATCACCTGGGGAGGGAATTTAGGTCAGTCCTGTCCAACAGAAGTTTCTGCAATGATGGAAATGTTTTGTGTCCATGTTGTCCACTAGACACATGGCCTGCTGAGCACTTGAAATGTGGCTAGTGCTATGGAGGAACTGAATTTTAATTTTATTTCATTTAAATTATTTTAAATTTAAATACATTGGCATTAGCCAATGGCTAATGTATTGGATAGCTTAGGATAGAGAAGAGTCTGGGGTCATTAATATGTAGAGGTCTAGTCAAGAAGACTGGGCCAGCGAAGAAGATGGAGAAGAAAAAGCCAGGAAGATAGGAAGAGAATCAGGAGATAATGGTGTCCACAAAAACCACAGGAGGAAAATGATTCAAGAATGGGAGTGCAGTTAGCTATGTCATATGCTGCTGATACGTGGCATTAGGTGACTTGGGAACAAATTAGTCACTGGGGATCTAAACAGGAGCAGCATTACCATGGAAGGGTGGTTGTGGAAGGCAGATAGAAATGGGCAGAGGAGAGAATGGGAGATGAAGAGAAGCAGTGTCTGTAGACAGTCATTTCAAGTTTTTCTTTGGAGGGGAATGGAAAAATTGGATGGAAAATATGGGAGAATTTGTAATCAAGGAAACTTTTTTTTTAAGATAGGAGTTAACTGACATATTTATTTGATGTTAAAAATGATCCAATAAAGGGAAATTGATTTAGGTGAGAAAAAAACATTTATCTTAAACATGAAAAGGGTTGGAATCTTGAGCACAAGGGGAGCAGTTGGGCTTTGATAGGAGGGACCCTTATTCCACGGTAACAGAATGGAGGGCAGGGATATGGATGCAGGTCCTGGGAGGTTTGTAGAATTGGCGGTGAATAGATAAGGGTGTGGAGACTGGGGGTACAGAAGAGTATGAGAAGCTCAGGAAGAAAGAAGGTATGAAGTAATCACCTTGAAGAGTAACTGGCATATACTCACCAGGATGAGCCTAGGATTTCTGGTCAGATTGGGGTGCCCATTTGTAGCTTGTGATAACAAATATAGAGAGAAACCAGTCGGCGTGATTTTATGTCTTTTCCCCCCACTGGAAAAGGCAGACAGTTGGCTTTAACCACAGTTAGATTTTTGACAGGTGACTACATAAGAGAGAAGGTTATTTTCAAGGGAGTGAGGTCCATGGAATTTCCTCTTGACATAGTGGAAAGTGAAGACAGGGGAGTGGAGGTGGGACAGTGGATGAATCGTGGAAGAGTATAAGGCCAGTGGACTGGAGGCCTAAAGAAAGTTGAAAACTTGCAATGAAAAACTAGAGTCAATGAACTATAGATATAAGAGGTGGTGATTAGAGAGTGGGATGCTTGAAGTAAATATTGTGTTATTGCTGTTGGTAGTATTTAGGGTATGACAATAGGAATGGATGAAAAAGATCATTAGGGGTCACTAAGGGGTAGAGAGGAAGAAAATGAGCTAGGAACTCAAG